CTATTTTCTAATTATAATTCCAGGAGATTGTGAGTTACATGGCAAAGTTATGACCTACCAGAATGTTTTTCATGTGCTTCTTGCTCTTGAGGAGATACTGAGGGGAACTTTTGTGAAGCAGGAGACTTATTCTGAGACAGGTGTTACTTAATTCTCAGTGATGATCAAACTGGAAATATTTATTTTTTTTCCGTAATGGTAAACTTGCTTATTTTTGTATTTTATTTTTTTTCTCTCCACAGTTTCCTCTATCTATCACAATCTTAATAGTTCACTTAGGCATGTCTCGAAGGCCTTCCCAGTCTTTGCTCACTTCGTCTGGAGATTGCTATTGTTGTTGTCAAGACATCCCTCTTTTTCAGAGCAAGAGGAACAAAAGTTGCTTTGAGACTTAAGGAAAAACTGATGGCTATTTCTACTAAATTAAAAGTAGAATCTTGGTGGCGTGGTTCCTTTACCTCTGTTTTCATTCAACTATGAATAAACGTTCATTTAAGGCGAAGTTTGTTGTTTGTATTTTCTCTTTAAATGAGAGTATGCCGTTGCCCAAATCCCTAAACTTCTAAAAGGCTTCACAAGTCAGTAACGCTATCAGTAGCCTTTTAATTACCTATTTCCCTTTAAATTCCGCATACGCTCTAAGAATCTTTTTGTTTGCACTGTTCAAATAACAAACCACACTCTGATTAGTCTGGGCGGAATACTTTGACGGAAAAGGCTTTTGGGCTAGGTCTTTATGAAACATTAGCGAAACGTTAGTGATTTGTACAAAGAAGTGTAGGTAAATAGGTCAATATCAGGTAGGGTACTACGAAGTTAAACTGCGTCCTGATTCTCTTTGGTTTCTGAGTCATATCTTTCAAACTATACAACATTCTCAAATCTCCTTAGCTGTAGAGTTGTAGTTTCTAAGTGTCTTGTTCCCATGCAAATGAATAAATTTAATTCTATAGCGTTGCCACTCGTTCTCCTGGTATATCAGTTGCTGTTGACTCTTGCAAGAGTCTGGAGCTTTAATGACATCCAACATTTGCAGTTAGATGATATGGAAGTCAAGAGCCACTTCCCCTTATAGATGGAGATAAGCGCGCTAATTGCATGGTATAAGCCCTCAGAAACCACCACTTTTTGCCTTGGTTTGTTGTTTTAATTGCTCATGAATTAATAAAAACTTCAGGCTATAGTGAGACCTTGTGTGGATATGAAAATAGACTTCATCCAGAGGCAAAGCCAATTTCGATTCTCATCCTTGACTGCAGAGAAAAAATCAAAATTGCGTTTTAAAATCTTCTTATTCTATAGTTGTTTGAAGAAATATTCTTCATGTCTGAATTTTTCCACACTCGTGTTTAACATCTTTTCTTCAATTCCACGCCGGCGAGCGTTCTCTGAGGCGTCTATAGCTAAACTTGGCATTTCACCTTTCTAAATCTCTACATACCATTGAACCATATCATATGCTTCCAAAAATTCTACTTCCAGTTTGTCCGCACCTTCTCAATGTTTCCTTGTGCTTATTGTCTTTTTCTTTAAGGCGTAAGTATTACGATTTTTACTTTTCGATGTACATCTTTTTCGTTGCTTGTGAGATGGTGGGAGCTGCTGCAGCTTATCCTCCGCCGGACCACATACTGTAGAGGCTGTGCTTGCTTAGAGCAAGACTAATTGCCTTCAATTATTTATTTACCAGCTCATTTGTTTGTGAATTACTACGCTGCTGTGAACAAAAGGAGAAGCTGTGCTTCGCATAACAAATTTTCCTAAGAAAATAGTAATTCTACGTTTTCCAACAAATAACAGGCATTTCTATAGGGATTCAGGACATGCACTGGAACCTGTACGAGAAACCAGGATGTTAGAACCCTCTCAGAACTGGTCAATTTAGTCTCCACTACACAACAAAAAACACAGTAGTGTACACCAAATAAGTTTATTTAGGGAAGCCTGCCGAGAACCAACCCGAGGCACATATAGCCCGAGGCGTGCATACATACATTCGCAACTGATATACCATATACAATCCTGATATAAAGTCAATTCCTTACACATTCACAATAGGTATACATTACTAACATGCACACTTCACCAAGTCAGGATTAACAGAGGTGGGCAACCGCTTACAAGGACATTACTACGGTTATACGGAGGCCAGAAAAAACCTGCCAGAAAAAAAACCCCTTTGGGGAAAAAATATGACAGGAAATCTGGGTAGGAACCATGGCCCACACTCAGAGCAGTTGGCAGCCCGTCCTACGAGGCTTCACAGTTAAAGAAAATAAGTTTTCAAACTAAAATAAATTTGTCATCAGTCAGAGGTGGACGGTTGGTTCTGAGGCCTAGATGGACGCCACGTGCTATACTCCCCCTTATATACCACTGCATCATTACCCATGATGCTCGGGCCTTGTCGTATCTCGTGCCGACAACATATTTATTTCTGCCTTATTCGCAGACTCAATCGTCAGAAATACCATTTTTTCCTCTTTGCTAGGACAATTGATACAAAGCTTAACTCAGGAAGAGATTACGGCGTCTCAGCTCTTTAAGGTCATCTCGACACGAGAATGCCGCGAATCGTAGAGAAAGAAGGCATGCTATGTAGAGCGCGCTGAATTTCCCATTGCAAAACCGATGCATAACGTCCTTGATTTGGGTTATTATGAGATACGTTTTCTCGTTCTTCGGGCTGGTACCACATTATTCGTTTGCACATTTCGAGGAAATGTTCCACTAGATGGGCCCATGCGATCCCAAAGACTGTTGCGTACGTGTATGCAGTGAGGCTGTGGCCTTTAGTAGGTGCACTAAATTCTAATCTGAGCCATTTTCATGATTGGCCAAACTGCTTACGAATTATGACGACTCATGCACTCACGGAGCTTCCGAAGACGGTTGAGCTCCAGCTTCTCCATGGCTTGTAAGACAGATTGAGCCCCTGGTGCCACAATAAGGAACTTAAAATGCCATCAAACTCAGCATTTGCAGATGGATATGTATCCTTGACCGGTGAGTCAGAGGATTCTAGGACCTTCATAGGCTAATAGGAGGTTCTTTCAAGTCACATAAATCCTCAAACTGATCATAGCAGGCAGATATGTGTTCTTGAGCGGTGAATCAGAGGATTCAAGGGCCTTCATAGGCTAATAGGAGGCTCTTTCAAGTCACATAATACCTCTAACTAATTATAGCAACGAGAGACCTATTCAAAGGCTATTCGCAGTTCTTTTAAGTACCCACTGATGAACATAGGCCTCTCACCGACCTCAGCGCGGTAGGTGTCGAGAGGGGTGGTACATAGGCATAGCCAGACGACCGAATGGGTATTGCTGATTGCTGGGATTGTGATGGAGACTCGGAAAGCTTAGAGTAATTCCTAATCAACTTCTCTGGGGATTCATTCTACTTTTGGGTGAATATTTCACCATCTACTGAGCTTGTAACTAGCAGTGGCTCCCGAGATACAGTTGGGACGTTGGGTTTTGTTATACATTTATATTGGTTGCGGCCGCATCAAGAGATTTGATTTTTTTTGTCCTTTCAGAAACTTGCTTAAAATTCTCAAATAACTTAACTCGGTTAAAGGGATTGGTTGTGATGAAACAACGGGGATTTTTTTTATGAGCGGCTGAACTAAAATGGGTTATGAAGTGGGCAAAGTCAATTGACATAAATAAGGTAAACCAACAAAATGGTAGACTTTAAAGATAAAGTTCTTGTTTTTTCGCTTCTCTTTCTTTATTGTTGTTTCCTTTTTTTACACTCGTTGCTGAAACGGTCCTTTCCCTATGGCGTACTACACAAATTCCCACGGGAGTTCTTTCGAACATGATGTTAATTTTGCGCAGTTTGGATTTATCCGAGAAATGAGCGTTGGTTTGAGGAAATCTTCAGGACACCTGCCATGCATGGCTTTTTTAGAGTGTACTTCCGAATGAACTTCCAGTTCTTCCAAACGCTTTGCCGTATTCTCTCACCATTTATGACAGAAAGAAACACTCTCTACCGAGCAGCAATACCAATGAAGAAGCCCGTCGCAATGGGATTGTGGTGTCTGGGAACTGGAATCGTCACGTTTGGTCTCGGAAATTGCATACGACTTAACGTTGTTCATAAATTCGCTCATGCTCTGCTTCACGTTAGAGAAGATTACATCTCTTTTCCATCCAGCGGAAGGGCATTAGGAAACGTAATTAACAAACTTGAATTAAAATATGGTCTACTTGAAGCAGCAGATGTTATTGATGCAACTCACATGAAAATTAAGAAGATCGTGAAGCATTGTGTGACAGAGAGAGGTCAGATCTGAATAAGGAACCCGTGGAGACATGTTTATCTCTTTCGTTTAGTTTGGGGTGTTGCTAGGGTGTAGTATTTTCTTTACAAGTGTGGTGAACAAAACAAACCTTTCTTTTAAATGTTTTATATTTTAAAAAAATATATAAACAAATTGATTTTAAGACTCGAGTTGAGTTCCAGGACACCAAAATATTTACGGATACTCCAGAGTTTTTGAAGGCAATTAAAACACAGTTGTAAACCTATAGGATAGTATGATTAACCTAGATCAGTTTAGATTCTACAATCGTGTTTCCGCTGGTACTCTTGTTGCTGCTTTCAAATGCGTGATGATATCTATCTTGGGGTTGGTCTTCCAACTGTGACTCTCCTTTGTCATTTTTTTTTTTCCGTTTATCCATGAATGTGATATCTAAACAATGGAGCCATAATTTTATATTGGGAAAAGCATAACTGATGGTCCTTAACGCTTATTAATGCACAGAAATATGTTTAAAGCCACTTCGGAGCTTAGATTGGCGAAAAATAACTGTAAACACAGAATACATTAATAACAATAGTTTTAACTGTTCTCAATAATGATAATAAACGGACTTAGTTGTTCAGTTTCCTTGAAAAACTCTAATGGAAATAGCCACTTAGGGATGCTTTACGTTAAGAGGCATTCTTAACTGTAGAATCTTCTCGATCCTAGAATCCCCAATTAGCTTGCCTCAAGTGTCTCCTTTTCTATGCTGTACTAATTACACATAATTTATTTTCACTGACATTATCTTTTGCTCACGAACATTTAATTCCTGTCAGTTAACGGGGGAAATTGGAGAGCAGGACTATCTATTTTAAAAAAAAATGTAGCAAAGCGCCAGGAAATCAGGATTGCTTTAAGTGTTGAAGTTAAGACTGATGGCTAATTTTTCTCAGTTGCTCAGGATAAAAATCCAATAAAAGCACGTTGATGAAATTGAGAAAAAACAGTTCAAACTGATGGAAGTATTCTTTCTGAAATGATATACGGGAATTAAGAAAATTGCAATTAACTTTCTTTTTATTCCAGTCTCGAATGGGTTGGCGATACAAATTGTCTAAAAATACAAGGGTTGTTTACACTTTAAAATTATTCAAGTTTCACTGTTATTATTCTAGCTCGAGGCTGGAATTAAGGGAAACACGAACTCTTTCATCTAACCACCACGAAATTTTACGATAACCAGACAAGTAAATTGGTCACCTATGGTTCGTGTTACTATTAGCATTATTTCTCTCAAACATTGATTCGCTTACAAGTTGTTAAACTGCACATTTCTTGGGGTTATTAATTTATACCGGTGGCGTTTTGAACGCTTTTAGCCTGAACAACATTTTAATTGATTCATAGCCGTCCTCTTAAAGAAATTAACGTTTATGTGCATGAATTAGTGTCCTTTTGTGTAAAGAATTGATTTTTTTATCATTCTTACAGACTATTTTTAACCTTTTAGAACCTTTGTTACCTGTCTAGATTAGAACTCTGTTGTTGTGAGTCATTAGGCTGGACGTTTGCGCAGCTCTGTTTTGGCCGAAGCGTACCAACAACACTGATATGTTGTTTAAAGCCTTTCTCAGGAAGACGTCGCTGATGACTTTTTTTTAGTAAATACGCAATTTATTACGTCTAGGAACCT